AGTGAGGTTTGTGAGAACCTGCTTGTTTCTGTTGCAGTGCAGGATCAAGGAAATGATTAAACAGGGTGATAATTCTTGTATGTCTCATTGAGAAGGTTTTCTTTCTTTATAAAAAAATAGGAAAAGTGAAAGCTGTAGATACATATATACACACACAATGAAGCAAATAAGCTATTTCTTCCTTGAAGCATTAGTACTTAGATGTAGAACTGATCTTGCGGGATGCTCTCTTCTTCAGGAGACTGCTAGGAGGCTGATTGTCAGATTAGATCTTTCTTTCCATAACAAGTTTTGTAAAGCATGAAGGAAAGACTGTTACAAGACTACTTCTCTTCTGTTAGCATGGAAGACATCTATTGATGTCAGAGAGATCTTGATTCAGTAAAGAATAAAGGCTTTAAGTTTTTACTTTCTAGAAATGATTGTATTTTCACTGTGCCACTAAAAAAAACCCGTTAAACTCAGAGTCTTTCTCTGTTCATCACATTTAAGGGAACAGTCACTCGGTCTCACATGCTTTGATAAACGCTTTGGAAATGTAGTTAAGTAGAGCCACTTTGAGCATTCATGAATTAATGACGAGAGTGGGGCTTGGGGAAGCAGTTAACTGAACTTGCACTGTTGAACATTGATGAACTATTTTCTAAATGGCAAAGCAGTGCCTCTCTGCTAAATCCATTCCAGAAAATCTGTGGGCAGTAACGTGTGGAGAAATTAATCTCAAAGGGAGAGCAATTTCTTGGCACTGTTATTGCTTCTCTCTTTGGTAGATAAATGGTCAGCTGTGCTGTTATCTAACCTCATGTCATCCTCCGCTAAGTGCAGCACAGTTGTTTTGGATAGTTTATGAAGTTCCCAAGTCTGTTGACTTCAGCATGTGATTTGTCAGCACGTTCCTCCTCCCTGGCTCTCCCAACACTGCTGAGGCCTCTGAAGTGGCTCACACAGCCATGCTCGCAGAATGTGTGATGGCCACACGTGTGTTGTGAAATGCAGATTGTGAAGGAATCTGTCCTTTACAATGGAAAGGGGATGGTGAAATTCAAGGGGCACAAGAAAGGAGTGGTCTCAATTCTGAGCACAGTTAATCCTCTGCCCATGACCCCCCCCGGCTTCCACCCTTGCAATTCTGTCTAATCCTGGCTCTTCCTGATAGGAATTTATGCAGCTTTCCCACTGCCTTTAGCTGACTAGTGTATGCTGGCAGGGAGGAAAACCAGAGCTCTTACCCAAGTCAAATTATGTTAAAACCTAGACGGGATGCTGTGCTGCTGCTACAGGGGCTCTCAAATCCAGTGCTGCTCAGTTAGCATGCCGTGCACGTGGGGAGGTGGTGTGTACAGGCTGCAGGATTACTAACTCTCTTTAAGCAGGGGCTTACCCTGTGCCCTAGAATTCTGAACAGTGATCCTTTTTCCCATTTTTTTTCTCCCAAGCAATTCCAGTATCTTTGGCAAAGCCACCACATACTTAGGCTTTTACCTCTTAGAATCTCTTGTACTCATTGATGCTGAACTCTGCTTAGATTTTAATGGACTCTAGGTGGCTCAAACTTAAAATTCTCAAAAAATAACTAGGCACTTAAAGTTTAATGTAAATGCTGACACAACCTAGATTAGGAGCTTCAGACAAGATCTAAAGTAACGGTAGCTTTGATTCCGTGTGATAGCCCAAGTCTCTCTCCACTTCTTACTACTGCTATGTTAGATGCACGCCGTTGTCAGTTCTGGTTTTGTCTAGGCTTCTGGCCCTTGCTTTAGGACTTGCTGTTTTATTTATTTATCAAGTGTCTAGAACTCTTGATGCTATATAATAAAATAATTATATGAAATGTGATCTTCACTGTAGGGTTTCCTATTTTTGTGTTGTGTTTTTTTTTTATTTTGCTTAAGAATGAATAATTAAGTACTAATCTGTGAAAACCCATTTAAAATTAATTTTAAAAGTGAGGGATCGTGCAAACTACAAGCCACATGTCCATCAGGTGTTTAAACAAGAACCTCTTTTATACCTTTTTTCATATTTTTCTGTTTTATGGAATGCAAAATGTCTGAAATCTGGTGTTTTTCAACTGCTATGAAATGAAAGTGACTCTAAGCAGTATTTCAAACAGCTGGTGAAAGATACGAGCATAAGTCCAAAATCAGAGCATCCAACTGAGAAGGAAATGCCAGTAACAAGTTTCCCTGTAGTATTTTGCATGGTTTTTTGCATGTCTTTGCTATCAATGTGAATTATGCCACATATTGATTTTGTTTAGAGTTAAGAGTTCTTTCAAAAGTGCCACCACTCTGTTATTATTACCTACATGTAGAAAGTGGGCTTCCAATGTCAATGGTAAACTTTAATACCTATGTCAGAGTGTCTGCGGATCTACATCTGAATGTTGGAAATGCTGTTCGCTGACTCAGTTTTAATTAACGGGACAAGACTTGCAGAATCTAGGCATCTTTTTGGTACCCTGCTAAGTTACAGATTTCCTTGTGAGCTGAGAGTAGCCATCCATATTTCCTTATCTTCCCTCTAACTAGGGGACGAACAGTTACAGAAACACCTATCAGTGGTGTGTGTGTGTGTTTGTTTTTTTAAGCTGGAATAGCTATGGTGTTAGTTTGAGGTTTGTGAGCAAGTGGATGACTTCACAAAAACATTTAAAATTGTTTTTTACCTAAGTATATATAATATTGGTAAGATGACCAGCTGCTTACTTAAGACCAGCAATTCAAACTTGGCTCCCAATTTTTATTTATGCCCTGGTTTGGGATGGGAGTAAGGGAGGAGTCAATATTTGCAAGGAATAGTTAGTTTTACTGGTGCCTGTGTAGTTAATTGTCTGTAAAATTGCTTTAGAAGCTACAGCCCTGTTGCTTGTTTGTGCTAGTACTAGGCACAGAGTGAATGGGAGACTGGTTTGGGAGTTTTGTTGTTATTTTAAGAGGTTCAGTGTTTTAGTTTGGGGCATTTTATTTAACTTACTTATTAATTTTATTTTATCCTAGCTGAAACTGGTGAACAGTGGATGTGTAAGAAATGGGTAAACAAAACACTGACATTAGGAATACAAATGCATATTTCAGAGTTGAAATTTGCACTGTGCAGGTCTTGCTCTTCCGCAACAGGCATGGTGGGGCAGGGAGCAGTCCTGCCTTGTGCACCAGCTTCCTCTCTCTGGGACCTGCAGCCAGGCCCCATTGCCAGTCTGCTGCTCATCTGGCCTTCAGCAGTAAGAAATGGGTAAACAAAACACTGACATTAGGAATACAAATGCATATTTCAGAGTTGAAATTTGCACTGTGCAGGTCTTGCTCTTCCGCAACAGGCATGGTGGGGCAGGGAGCAGTCCTGCCTTGTGCACCAGCTTCCTCTCTCTGGGACCTGCAGCCAGGCCCCATTGCCAGTCTGCTGCTCATCTGGCCTTCAGCAGTGCGCTGACTTCCAGTGCAATGCTTGTGGTTATCTTTCAGTTGACAGGCTTTATTCTAGCATTCCTAATTCACACTGATGGATCTTTTCACTTGAGGATAAGATCAGCTTTTGGTATTGCCCTCAAAGTAGAAAACAGGTTTCAGGTCTCAAATTATTCTGGGAAGCAAGTGCAGTTATTGGTTCCGGTATTCTAATCACAGGCCACAACTGAAAGGAAGAGCCACTTCAGTGCACCCTTGTACTCCTGGGTCCAGCTGAATGGACACATCATGCTTCTTTAATTAAGAAGTGATGATATCACTTTTCAGTAATGGACCTGAACCTTACTGTCATCTAGAATGGAATTTGCTTAAAGGAAAAAAAATTTCCTATTGCTTTGCTTTGATTTTGTTACTGTGGTGAATATCTTGTTTAAGGTTTCTTGCTTCTGTATATTCAAATACTTCAAGTTATTGGTTCAGTGTTAATGAATGTCACAGCTTTTGCTTTTGAACAGTTTGAAGAGAACAGAATTTTATTGTTCTTATGTTTAACTAACAAAAAAGTAATGGCTATAACTGCAACTCCCATTAAAGGCCAAGGGAATTGTCTGTGGCATCTAATCTAAGGATAGAATTTTGCTTTAAGCTATTAATCTGTTATTTAATTCAATAAAGTTCTATATTTGTGACTTTAATTCATGCTAATTAAACCAGGAGTAGTCTCATGATACAAAATACCAATAAACATCGAATGTGTGGAGCATGAAATACTCCGTGTTACAGACTCTCTCATGCAGTTGGTAATACAATAATTTAGTATTTTGGCAAATGTAGTTCCCTTTTTTTTTTTTTCTGAAATGGTTTCAAATGATAGCTTTTAAAAATGGTTTCTAAACTGCTAATAAAAAGGAGGGAAGCTGTGTTAGAGAACTAATGAACTCATCATTTCACTTTATGAAACATGCAGCAGGAAGAGTAAGACAATAGCAGAGTCTTGTGATGTGAAAACCATTATAGGAAGATATGGAAATTCATTTAGGATATGTAAGGAAATGTTAAAGAAGGTCTTCTGATTCAGTTACCACAATCCAACTTGCTTCTGTTTTGTTATTAGTAGGATTAGAGCTTTTGTCTATCAGTTATTGCTCTGATAATTTTTCCAAAATAATTTCCTTTGTCTCTTTAATGTCTTGATAATTCATCAAAACCCCCTCATAAAAAACCATCATAGAATGCACAAAATGCAGTCGGTGCTTTAAACAACAACGGGATGCAGAAAATACTGGTCTGAGGCAGAAACCCAACAACCTTAGACCAATAGAAATATTGAGGGGGTAGGAGTTGGAATTCTTAAGGTAAATCAAGTCTTTTAAAATGGGAAGTCCGCCCAAGGGAAGTAACCAGGTTCTGCCATGTAAATATTTGGGAACTTGTGAGATATGCTGCATTTCCCTCTAGCCCCGATTACTACTTCGGACAGATACTTATTTGGGTAAAATGAGGGTTGTTGATGTTTTCCAGATAGATACTATAGTAGTTAAATTAACAGTTGAATGACCTATTCAGTGCTTCTTTTATTTTGCTTTTCTGTAGACAAAACATGGATGCACACTCCTGAAGCCTTATCAAAGCATTATATTCCCTATAATGCAAAGGTAAGAAAATAAAAGTTTTGTCCTCTTACCTTTAGAACACAGCGCGTTCTATCTCGCTTTTCAGTTGAAAACCACAGAGACATGAATTAGCCAAATGAAACTGCAAAACAAAACATAGTATATCTCTGGTTTTCAGATTAAACACTTTTATTTCTTAAATAATGGCCATTTGATTTCTGTTTTGAATAATTTGATGGTTTTCTAGAAAGCAAGCCTTGTTCCTCTTCAGCTTGATGCTCTGTTTCCTTTTAATGGATGCTAAATGAATGGAAATTTTTAATCCAAAAGAATTTAACATCAGGCTGCGCTCTTACAGTGCTGTAAAAATTAAAATTAATAGCACAAACTTCTGGTGACCAATAGCAAAGGAAATGAGTAACGATCCTATCTGCTGGATATATTGAAGTGCCAAATACTCTGGAAATATGGTAGAATAATAATGGAAGTTTTGCGCATTAAATCCAGAAGTCTTCCTTGTGCTTTCTTATCCCAATTACATTGTAGTTCTACAGTAGTATTTCAATTAGTCTAATGACAACTGTTCACAGGAAATGCTTCTTCTCAAAATAACAATTCAGAAAATGGTTTGCTAAAAGGAGGAGGGAATACACAGTAAATCAGCATAATTGAAAGTAAAGTGAGTAATTTGGTATTACTTGCCTAAACTGAGAGGATAACTCAATAAGATCCCACCATGGTCTGTCTGGATGAAGTTCTTGTCTGATTGGTATTTTATAATATAAAAATGAAAATTATTTCACAGGCTGGGATTCAGTTTCCTACACTGGTATTCCCTCCTGTTGTGTTGCTTAGTATTGCCACACAGTGAGTTAAGTGTTTGTCGTGGAAATTTGAGTCTTGTCCTGCTAGTTGCCTGGTGAACTTGTTTTTATTCCATGTGATCTCAAACTGAATTTTTGACCAAAGAGTGTATTGCCATTACCACTGCCTTGCCAAGCACCTTGGCTTTTATATTACAGTTTTTGAGAGGGAGGGATACTTGCTGGGGTGAGTGTTCTAAGAGCAAGCTGAAGCTATGAATTCTGTTAGTGCACTGAACAATGTTTGTTTGTCATCTTTACTTAAAGAGAAAAAGGAAACATCCCTCACCTTTCGTGTCTCACTGTCTTTCTTAAGAGCATATCACATGAAGAAGTGTCAGTACAGCTATGCAGAAAAAATATTAGAATTAAGATAATGGCAATAGGATGGTGATAACCGTAAAAATAACAGTGTCAACAACTTCTGGGGGAGAAAAAAAGGATGGGGATTTTCTAGGAAGTCTGTTCTCAGACGTGTTAAAAAGGTCTAAAGAAGTCTTTTGTTTAGGCTAATATATGCCCAAGTGTCCCTTCCAGTTCTGCTCCTGTTTAATGTGGGTTCTGACCTTACAGGGCTTCCTCAACCTCCTTGCTGTTGGCCTTTGAGGTCTGTCAGAATACTTGCAGGAAGCTGCAGTGTACTGCAGCATATGCTTTTAAAAAGAAGTCTACCCATTTTTTCATTTATATCAGAGTAGAAAATTATTATTTAGAACTCTGTTATTTGTTTCCCCCCACCCCCACCCCCCCAATGCCAGCAAAAAATTTGTGTTGTAACTGGAGTGTCAAGAGTATGGAATTTCCACATGACGTCTTTTATTGACACCTGGCATAAATTTGCACAGCTTTTGAGTTTAGTTGGCATATGCAGACATAACAACTTTATAAAAACTAGATGTTTCTACCTCAATTCTCCGGTACAATTTTCATTAAGTTTTTCAATATTTTTCTTTAATAAGAGCAAAACTTGTGTATATACTAGTACCTCATTTGGGGTTTGTAACATTTTGATTTTTAACTGAAATATCCCGTTGAATTAATACTTTGTAACTGCATTGTGAAATTATGATTTAAAAACTCAGAAAGCATTCACAAAGGAAGTATTGAAAGTGACTGAATGAATTTTTTTTTTCCAAACGCCCCTATTGGTTCACTTTCAATTCTATAACATTCTATTCATATAACTTATATTTGTTGGGAGGAAAAGACAACACTTTATCTGATTTATTTCAAAAGGTAATTACGTGAGTGAAGAATGACATGTTCAGAAAATCAAATCAATTTGACGGAAAGCAATACCGGAGATGTTATTTTTTTTACCATGGGCAAGTGAGCTGTATTCCGCTACGTAGTTTTTTGAATGCAAATTACTGTCATGAAAAATAGTGTTTTCTCTTCTTCATAAGGCACAAAAATAGTTTCTCTGAGACTAATCTGAGTTGATCAGAAAAAGGAGACCTTACTAAGAGCAATGGGGAAAGATGGGATTTGGTTTACTTGATTTCTAAGACATCTTTATGAATTAAAGCTTGTTGATAAGGTGCAGTTCATGAGTTGTCTGTTATGTTTAAATAAAGAAAATCCTAGAAAAGTTAACTGAAAATTGAGAGTCCTGCAGTATAGACTACTGCCTTTTTTCTACAAATTGGAGAGGACTTTTTAATAGAGAATTAGTCATGTCTTGTATCTCTTAGGACTTACACCCTCAGGATGTTTTATGACAATAATGCTCTTTGCAAGAAAACATGAGCAGTGTTGTTTCTTCTGGAAATAAAATCCAGGAACCACGAGTCTCATCAGGAAGCCCTTAAATATAAAGGCATTATTCATTATATATTGGACCTGTATTATCACTGTAGGAAAGAAGGGGAAGAACGAAAAAGGTATTTATAATAAATACTTTGCCAAAAATCTATCCTTGCAGTACCTAGTAGTATTAATCTTCACTGTAGTACAATAAACAGAGTTTAGCTAGGTTTTCAACTTTATGTAATTTCTTATTTCTTCAACTTTTGTATCAAAGAGGAATAGCAGATCCTGCTTTTCTGTTACAGGCATTTGGACAAGAATTTTAGGTCAAAAATATCATGCTGCTTCTAAATGATGTAGCTAGTGTAGCGGGGCTCTAAGTGCAATTATGTCTTATTCATATCTGCATACCACTATCATTAGTGTAGAGTATCATCAAAGCCATGTTTTTATGGCATAAACTTCACTGCTAATAGTTATTTTTCTGCCTATAGCTATACTAACCATTTCTCTTTTTCTGTCCAGTCAGAGTACTGCAGAATGATCATGGTTTTGTGTCAGGAATAATAATTAAATAATATCAAAAGAAAAATCGCATATAGATTTTCCAGTAAACAGAGACACGAGGCACTCTGTTAAAAAGTATAGTTAAATTTATGTGGTAAACTTAGATATGACAAGATACTCAAAAGAGAGCCTGAAATTGTTGAAAATCAGAAACTAATGAAATAGAAGAGGGCATTAGAAGAAATAATTCATTTTCCTATATTTAATTTATTATAATTAGGATTAATAACTTAATTCCAATTAATTTTGATTACAGTATCAAAATGTCTTGGATGTAATTATAATTAATTTAGTGTTTAAGCACAAGAAAAATGAGTATTGTGAAAATATCCAAATGAAAGATGAAAGCAGAAAATTATAATTTTACAAGGAAATGCAAATCTGAACTACTTAGTTATCTGTGATATATTACAGTCATTAAACATGAGTTTTATCATACCAAAGATGAATAATCATGTAAATAAACATAAAATATTTAGAGTCTGCAAGGGGTACTGCCAACAGTCTTCCCTGCTTCAGGGAAATGGCCCTACCTATTCCATCTTGCTTACAAGATTACATACTTAAAACGGGAGAAGGGTAGGAGAGCATAGCATTGTGTGCACAAATACCCTAAAAAATAAATGACTTTGATGCAGGAGGATTGTATCTGAACTTTCAACAGCAACAAACATGATTTCATATAGGTAGCTGAAGGAGGAGAGCTGCTTTTTAACTTCTGCACCAAGCATTTTCAGTTCTTGTCATTTTTGTCTGTGAAAACTGATGAATATTTCAGCTTCCTTAAAACCTGACCGTTTGTTAGTTCCTCAGAAAGCTCTGTGGGGTACTGAGTGCCTTTGAAAAGCTGTCAGTCTGCCTTGCCTGAGGTTGCATAGCCCGTTTGTAAAGGGGCAAGGATTAAGCCTGCACCTCCTGTGTCTTGGTTCAGTCTTCTGAGCACAAACCCACCCCTCACATCCCGTCAATAGTGTATCACTGTACAGTAATGGAAGTTGTGTAGTATGTGCAGACAGTTGTATATCGCATTTGCATACGAATGTGCACAAGTTCAAAGGCAGTATTGATGCTTCGTGCATATGCTTGAGTAGCCCACAATGGCCCCTACGCTCAAAGATCGTTTTGCAAGAATTAGCCATGTGGTTTATGGTATCTGTGTGCATCTGCACCTAGAGTTTTGTCTTTCTCATCCATTTAGTATTGCATATGTAAAAGCTTTGAAAAAGGTCGCTAGGGTATTGGTGTCTTTAATGTGTGAACACTGCCTGAGAAGTTTAGAAAAATTTGCAGAATAACAGCGCAGTTTTGACGTGTGTAGTCTCCTTTCAGGTGCCTATAGCCCTCTGCAGTTATGTGAAACACCTAGCTGCACAACTTCAGGCTCTGCAGATCACCCACACTCTCCAGAAGATGATCTGCTTCAAGAGAGGAATGATTTATGAGCAATTCCAGTTTATCTTTCATATGATCCATTAGTGTGTAACTTGCACAGAGTGCTTTATGCTTGACTGAAGTTCCCAGTGTCATACATAAATGCATTTTGAGGCACCTATGTGCTCAATAGAGCACGTGTTTCAGTGAGTGAAATAATTTTGGGAGATTCTGGTTAAAAAAAAAAAAATCTGTGAATTTAATTGGAGGAGTGAGATAAAAAATACTGGCCGTATTTTTCAATAAATTATAAACTGCAACTGCAAGACAAAACAGTAGCTTTTGATCTATTCTCCAGACCTCCTGACTTCTCCCAGGTTGTGCTTATGATCCCTTGGTCTCTTCGTAAGCTCCATTTTGCTTGAAATGTCTGAGTACTGTAGGACGTACTTCACTCACAAGTATGAAACAGATTTGCAATGCAAGTAAGAG